GCCGAGCAGGGAGCCTGAGGCAGTGCTCGATCCCAGGACCCTGGGATCATGACCTGAGCCGAAGGCAGACACTTAACGACTGAGCCACTCAGGCGCCCCTGGGAAGTATTTTCTGAGCCAAAGTTTTTCTAATTTTTCTCATGTTGGAAGCAATACTGAATTTAAAGTCAAATGCACCATAATACATATCTTAGATATCTCTAAGTACATTCTGAAGTATTTATGAAGAACTAAAACATACACGATACAGCAAATCAACATATAAGGCATGCTATAACATAACTTTTTAAGTCATAAATTAAAATGTTTACTAAAATTTGACTAAATTTAAATTTATAAATGTTAACTAAATTTGAATAATAGTTCTCATTTCCAAAAGTTCTGTAAGACATAGCAATTATTCATATGTTTATATGAGGATACAAACATACAAATGTCCCCCCACACACACACACATACACTATTTTTTTTTACTAGAATATAAGCACACAGCAGGGGGAGCAGGAGAGGGAGAAGCAGGCTTCCCGCCGAGCAGGGAGCCCGATGTGGGGCTCGATCCCAGGACCCTGGGATCATGACCCGAGCTGAAGCCAGAAGCTTAACCAGCTGAGCCACCCAGGCACCCCAACACACCCAGTTTTTTAAAGAGAAGCTTTGCTTCCACACTGGGAAGAGTCATTTGCTACAGAAGTTTGGTAACAAGAGTTTACCATCACTGAGAATTCCCTTTTGATCTGCCCCAATACAGGACACCACAGGCTTTGGATCACAGTCTTAGGCTTGAACCCAAGGGAATTAATTCATCTCTGGAATTTGAATTTCTGATCTAAAAGCTCAGGGATGACAACCTCCATTCCCCAGGGTTCTGAGGCAGGCTGGCTAAGAAAGCAAAGCCCCTAAGAGGGCAGGATCTCACTGGATGCTAGCTCCCTCCTTCCCCATGCCCATTTCTCCTGACCGTGAAGAGCTCACCTACCAGCATGTGCATCCAGCATGTGTATCCGAGGTCAAAAACCAAGAGAGTTGCCTCATTTGCAAAAGTCAACCCATGGGGTTCAATACCCTGACGAGTAAAAGCAGCCAAAGTCACTGTCCCCAACATCATTTCCTAGAGGAAGCTCTGCAGAGTCATGGCAGGAACGATGCCAAAGGGCAAGGCAACATCGGAGAATGCCATCCACCACCAAAACTGGGTCCGAAAGCCACCCCCGCCCTCCCTCTCCTCCCATCTCCCACCCCCAACTTGGCAACCGTCACCGGCCAAAATCCTAGAAGGTCTAGAATGGACATCAAGCAGTCTCTGGCTCTAGGGGGAAGCTATGGCCACGCTATCTTACTCACACTGGGTCTGAGAAGAATTAATGAGCTAACGTCTGAAAAGTGCTCTGAGTTCCTCCGGGACAAGGTAGCCAAAAACCATAAACCTCTGTTACGGCCAGAAACACAAACTCAGCTGCACGTGCGGTGTGCTAATTATAACCCACAGACTTCTCAATGTGTTCCCTCAAGGTAGATAAAAAAATTCCAATAAGCCGAATGTGTTTAGATTGGCAAACCTGAGGCCCCAGGACCCCTAGGTGAATGTAAAAGTGCTCAAATTTAACTAACACACCCGACAGCTCAGACTTGTTCCTGGCCGGTGCACAGATACCAAGTGCGACCAATGAGTATTAAACTGAATACAACCACCCAGGGAAAACCAACTTTCCTTCCAAATGAACTGGCTTGTTAATCAGAGGGTCCAGATCCCATCCCATGTGCTAAGAGAGCCTCACCAAGTCATCCTGTCCCTTGCCCCACTTCACCTCCTGACACTGCCTGTAGATTCGTTCTTTCTGTTCTCTTTATACTTGATCCTACCATCCCATCACTCAAGGTACTCCCTTATAATTAAAAGACCAGTGCATTGCCCCTGGTGAGCACTCACAGAGGATTTCCTGTACCCGTCAGTTTGGGGAGTCCCTATGGATTGGTTTTTTTAAGACATCTGGCTGAACAAAGATGCTCACAAGAAAACAGCCCATGGTACCCCAGAGCAGACTTAAAAAGGCACCTTCCCATCATTCAGGCTCTTTTAAGGGACAATAGAGGGAAACGTATTGAATTTAGTGCACTTGTTCTTTGGGGCAAGGAAGCAAGTCAGTCCTCAGGGAAACATCAGCTGTTGCTTTCTGCAAATCACAGAGGTTAGAATGACTACTAGAGTGGCTCCAGAAAAAACACCCAGAAGATCCAAGTCGTAGACTCAGCTCTGCAGCTGGCTCAGAGTGAGACCTTGGCATACTGCCAATGCTGAGCCTCAGTTTCCCCACAAAGGGGGAATACATCATCTCCTAAGATCCTGTCCCAGTCTGTCATCACCGATTCAACAAAAAAATGCTCAAATCTGCAAAGACTGAGTTCCTTAATTTTTCGGTGACTATTCATCCTGTCTCTGGTTATAAAGAATGTTAAAGACCAAGAATGCCAGTCCACAAGAATCTTTCTCAGTGACATTTACTCAGAGGTTAAGGAAAGTAGCTCTTTATTCTGACCTCACCAGCAAAAAAATGTATTAAGGGTCTAACCATACACAGCACAGTAGGAAATGCACGGAGTCAACTGGATCTTCCTAACTACAGGCATCAAGGCATGAGTGAATGTGTTCTGTTTACAACTATATGGCTAGTTGCAAAATGGCACTGACTATTTTAGTGAGTTAATCTAGTTATGAAAGCAAAAAGGGGCCTAAAGATTACAAAATTAAAAAACCTATATAGTAAAAGGAGAAAAATATGCATCACTCAACACTGCATTTTGGTAATGTCTCTGTACTTGTGGTTAAGAAAGAGGTTTTTAGAATAATAAAAATTCAGAAACTTCCTCAAGCAGTGAATATTCACTGAAACAAAGTCTAATAAATCAACTATGTAATCAAAGGGAGAGATGTTTATACATTTACATTAGGATTTCATGAGTGCTTATTACTTGAGAATTGATCAAACAAAAATAGCTAAGATGTTTCCAAAAAAGACACTGATGATGTAAATTGAGAAAGCGGAACTACTTTGTCATTAAAAAAGAATTTTTAAAGAAAAGAGCTAAATTGCAGTGGGTTACTTTACCTAAGTTGATTAAAATCAACAATCAGAATTGGGAAGTATTTTTTTTTTTTTAAAGATTTTATTTATTTATTTGACAGAGAGAGAGAGAGAGCAGGAACACAAGCAGGGGGTGGTGAGAGAGGGAGAAGCAGGTTTCCCGCCGAGCAGGGAGCCTGAGGCAGTGCTCGATCCCAGGACCCTGGGATCATGACCTGAGCCGAAGGCAGACACTTAATGACTGAGCCACTCAGGCGCCCCTGGGAAGTATTTTCTGAGCCAAAGTTTTTCTAATTTTTCTCATGTTGGAAGCAATACTGAATTTAAAGTCAAATGCACCATAATACATATCTTAGATATCTCTAAGTACATTCTGAAGTATTTATGAAGAACTAAAACATACACGATACAGCAAATCAACATATAAGGCATGCTATAACATAACTTTTTAAGTCATAAATTAAAATGTTTACTAAAATTTGACTAAATTTAAATTTATAAATGTTAACTAAATTTGAATAATAGTTCTCATTTCCAAAAGTTCTGTAAGACATAGCAATTATTCATATGTTTATATGAGGATACAAACATACAAATGTCCCCCCACACACACACACATACACTATTTTTTTTTACTAGAATATAAGCACACA